TATCAACATGTGCTGTGTGAGAAAAGCCTGCTGAATGTATAGAAATGGCCGTCGGGTCCAGATGGTGTCCCCCTGGGAATTCTGACTGACGTCCAGTTCCGGACAACCTACAGCAGGTTAGTCACGATCCAAAGTATGGCGCTGTATCGTTATGCCACGTATATGTGTTACATCTAACTCATTATCAGGTGGCGCAGTGAGCTGGGGGGTGGACAAAATAACAGAAACACATCATGTTCAGTCAGCAAATACTGCTTAAGGGGAAAGTGTTGATGTTTGGACTAATATTAGGGGGAGTTTATGACATTTTGTAGGTCGATAATATTAAAATAATACACCTCCTGGAAGTTTTCCATGTTGCCCAAGAAAACAGTGTGATTACGATTACGCTATTACGAGTGTGTTTTGGTCACATGCAAAAATGCAATGGTTATAATGTGAAATAAATAATAGTTTTTCCCTGAGATACAGCTGAGCTCAAAGGAATGTATTTTCTTGACAATTAATCCCACATTACAAGTTCCATCCATCTGTTTTCTGCTGCTTATCCACTGTCAGGTCACAGTGGCCGCAGACTAACCGGGACATTCCTGACGTTCTTCTCACAAGCAGTGTTTTCCACTTTCTCCTGAGGCATCCAAGGCCACATTAGATATATATATAATCCCTCCAGTGAGTTCTGAGTCGACCCCGGGGTCTCCTTTCAGTTGGGCGCAGCTTTGGCAAAACTTCAAGTTCCCTTTGGAGCTCCTCGCCCTTTCTCTAAAGCTGAGTCCTGACGCCATACAGAGGAAACTGATTTTGGCTGCTTGTATCTTTCAGTTACTACCCAGAGCTCATGACCATAGTTAAGAGTTGGAATGAGGACCAATTGGTAGCTTCCAGTTAAACTCCCTCTTCGCCACAACAGTTTGGTACAACGCCCACCTAAGCACTCATGCTGCACCAATTCATTGGTCCAACTCATGCTCCATTTTCCTGTTTGTCGTGATCAAGATTCCGAGATAACTAAACTCCTTGGTCTGGGGCAGTGACTCATCCCCAACTCAGAGGGAGCAATGTCCTGGTTTCCAGCAGAGATCCATGTCCTCAGACTTGGAGGTGCTGTCCATCTGGGTCACTTCACACTTCGATGCAAACCGATTAGATGACGCCAACACAAACGCATCATCTGCAAATAGCCACTCTTTCGAATTCCAAACTAGACTCCCTCTGTGCTGCACCTTGAGATCCATGAATATCATAAACAGGATCGGAAACAAGGACCAGCCTTGCCAGGCAGCTCTCACTTTGGTTGTACAAGAACCAGATGGCTTCGAACCACGGTCCTGGTACCCCATATTCCCACAGCACCCCTTTATAGGGTTCCCCCAAGGATATATGGCGGTAGGTAGGTAGGTTCTTTGCAGGAATTTTTCCCCTTTCAAACATGCAATCCTTTCTGTGAATCAGATGGCATCTCATTGTGAGGGCTTCATGTTTGAATGAGCATGCTTTAGCCCATTTAGTGACATTTTCAATACTGCATGCAGTCCCAATAACTGATAGACAGCAGTTTAGGGATGTTTTTTTCCCACATTTTAACACCTATATTGGTCAAAAGTCTAATCTGAGAAAGTCTCAATAAGTACAGTAACACATTCCAAACAGTGGCGCAACGTTTTGGCAATGAAAGTGGTCACAAACCAATCATAAATGACCTTTGGACCAAATCCACACCACTGAAGCTGGTATTTATGCACAGATAAAGTACTGTGTGGCCCTGTGACTGTGTTTCTGCTGTTTCCTCTACACTTTTTCAAATGGGCTTTGACTTTTTATTCATGTTTACCAGTTTCAAGTTTACATATGTAACTGTCTGTATGTTAATTTTCAAGTCTAGGTGCTAAATGGCAAGTTAGTATCGCAGTACAACACAATAAGTCTCTATATGCAGGAGTAGACATTCCCAAACTTTATGTGAAGTTTGTTTTATATACTTGTGCAGCTAATCTTTAACCTAAAGAAGTAAAATGATTAGAATCTATCTTAAGAAGTAACAGATTTATCTTCAGGCATGTTGTGTTGCATCTCTAGGTTGCTCTATATGACATGATATTATTAGCACTGATTTACAAGCCCAGTATCGGTAAATTTAAAACTACTTGACACCTGTGGAGCTGTAAATACACAGAAACCCAAATTGGTGTACGCACTAAGGACAGGATTATTACATCAAAGTGTCAGTCGGTCGCTGAGAGCAATTAAAACCGCATCTCGTTATCAGAATTTGCTCGCCACTGCAACATCGAACCAGCTTGTAAGGCCTGGCCCGGCGCCGGAGAATCTGCCTCCAGCCATTAAAACGTGAAGCTCAGAGAAGCAACAGAAGGAGTATCCATTCGACAAATCCCTGTATTGACCCCCCGCCGCCGGAGCATCTGCTGTTTTCTACTTTGGCCACAGACCTGAGTATCTATGTCAAAGACAGAAATAGTTCCACTGAGAAGGTCAGCTATCACATTACGTCACTCGGTTTCTCCTCTGTTTTGGAAAAATTCTGGATAAACCAAAGGCGTCTCTCACATATTTATGCCAGTTTGGACTGAATGTTCAAAAATGGGCGAGTGTATTTGTTACTCGACTTCTTAGAATAAATCCAACAAAACATTTATTTAAATTGACAGACATGAATGTAACTTATAAATCACAGGCATTGAAATGTTTTCCAACATCTGGCAAATTTTCATTCCCTCATTACGTAGATGCTCAAAGTCTGACAGTTTGACTTTTATTTTCTCACTAGCAGTGAGAACTCTGGATTTATAGTGAAGTTTATTGGACCAAAGGGTTTCTTATGGACAAGAAATGACACAAACAAGTGATAAAAGATGGCAAGATGTTATGTTAGATGAATTTTAACTGTTTCTGTTCTCCAAGTTCACGTTTCCAATGTCAAAAGTTTATCATATCCCCTCAAATTTCACCAGGTTTTGAGAAAATACAGCTTGCATAGCTTCCCAAGTGGTTCTGGTCATTTCTACCATGTTCTAGAGGGTTTTCGTACATCATAAATTGAGAACAGTTGATGCAGTAGTTCTCTAGTCAGTTAGTGGTCAATTGCAAATCACGTCTCCACACAAAGAGCTTAGTGAGCTTGATGTTAGCGCAAAAAAAACAGTTGCGTAAGTTTTTGTTTGCCGCCTCATCAATCAGGCAGTTGTTAAAACTGCTAACAGTCTTTCTGGGATTTTGTTTTTCAAAGATCTCCAGGTCTTGGAGGTTTGAGGATTCCTTGTCAACGCTCTGGTCTTTGGTTCCTCCACAGATTCTCAATAGGACGCCGGGCTGGACTCCAACATCTTCATTTTGTTTTCTTTTAACAGTTTCTCCACGTCGGCCGAATGTTTCAGATCATTGTCTTGTTAGAAGATCTCACCACCCCGCTTGACTGTGAAGATGGTGTTAAGGGTTGAATATCCAAACTACATTTCATCTCATCTGACCACAGAACTGTTGAACAGAAGCTTTGTCCTGGTGAACTTTGAATATGAATATGTTTGGACCGATTATTGTCTACGGTGGCTGACGGGGGCAAATGACGTGCATTTATATAAACGAGCTGCATGTATATGAATCTGTTGCATAAACAGAAACGGACTGCAAAAAGAAATCGCTGCATATCCAGTCACACAACACAAGTGCCACAGGGGCAGTTTTTGAGTCTTTATCTTTTCATTCACTGTGATTCTATGGGTGCTGAAGTGGTGCTTTACTACCGTCTCCCTTTGTTCTCTGTTATTTATGTTTTTTCATGGAGAAGAGAGAATACAAACCTTTTCATACAGCTTTTCCCTCAAGCTCACTACTGCCCCTAGAGGCCTGGGGCACTTCCGTTCTGTGACTGGATATGCAGCGTTTTGTTTTTGCAGCACGTTTCTGTTTTTGCAATGCATTCATGTATATGTAGCTCGTTTGTGTATATGCACACCATTTGCCCCCATCACCACCGTAGCTAATAGCATGTCCAAACATATTCATATTCTCTGAAATGGTCTCAAATAAGGGCTGTTAGGTGGTGCAGTTGGTACCACTGTTGCCTCGCAGCAAGAAGGTCGCCGATTTGCGTCCCGGTGGGGGCACTGGGATCTTTCTGTGTGGAGTCTCCATGTTCTCCCCGTGCAGCGTGGGTTCTCTCCGGGTTCTCCGGCTTCCTCCCACACAGTCCAAAAACATGTTGAGGTTAATTGGTGATTCTAAATTGTCCGTAGGTGTGAATGTGAGTGTGCTTGGTTGTCTGTCTCTAAGTGTAGCCCTGTGATAGACTGGTGACCTGTCCAGGGTGTCTCCTGCCTTCATCCTGAGTCAGCTGGGATAGACTCCAGCCCCCCATGACCCTAGTGAGGATTAAGCGGTGTATAGATGATGGATGGATGGATGGATGGATGGTCACAAATAGTTGACAAAATGCAAAATGCAGAGTTCACCAGGACAAAGACAAAGTTCTGTTGAACAGTTCTGTGGTACGATCAGATAAAATGTAGTTGCTATTCAACCCTTAAGAATGCCATCATCACAGTCTAGCATGGTGGTGAGACTTGCCCCCGTCGGCCACAGTGTATTTTTGGTTTAAAATTTTTTAAAAAAAATTTAAATAATGCATAAAAATAGTTAAAATACATAATTAACACATCTATCACAGTGTTTCACCAACTTTCTTCATTCCTTTTGGTCATTGCAGTCAGAAGAAACCACTATCAATCACAATTGGGCATGCAGATGAATAATGCTGGACTTAATTGGATGCAGTTTGTTTGTTTGTTTTTTTAACGTCATGAACTTTTTTTTTTTTTTAATTAAGCACAGGTCAGTGCAAAAGTTACGAGTATTAAAAAATATATAAGAAAATGTGCTGAGTGACTGAGAACAAGTTACATAATCTTGTTTTGCGCTGACTTCCGGAGGTGTGTTTCTGTTGACCGAGTGTCCCTGAACGTCGCACTCGGATGCTGCGGTCTCTTTAACAAAAGTTCAACGTCCAGGAGAAGCGCTGGTCTCTCTCAACATGGAGCTGAAGAACCTGGCCGTGAGCGCGCTCACCGAGCACCGGAAGGCCGCCGTGCTGCTCGGAGGAGCCGCCGCGGCGCTGCTGGGCCTCGGCCTCGGGTACAAATACCTGCGGAGGCCGGAGAAGGCGCTCCGTGTGGGCGTCGTGTCGCAGCTGCTGGTTCACCCGCTCAAGTCCGGGAAAGCCGTTCATGTGGCTCTGGCAGAGTGCCAGAAGTTCGGCCTCAAGTTCGGAGAGCTGCAGGATCGGTAAGTTCTGTAAATCAGTGTCGCTGATGAAGTCCACATCAAAGAACCTGTTGGTGTTTGCAGATAAACCGCCTCCATTGTAGGAATGTGACTCAAGTTCTCAGGATTGTTGGTTTGTTTTCAACCTGAACACATTATTTTGACAGCTGTGTGTCAAAACCCTCCATAGACACTGAAGAGCCTCCTCACCTGTGCAGATGTTTGCATCTGTTCCAGGTATTGGAGGTAAAATACACCAAAGTGTCTGCAGGTACTCGACCTTTGACCTGCAGCCTGTAAACGTGCTCTCACCTGAAGAAGCCTCATTAAACACACAGCATGGAGGCAGGAGTTCAGGAAAACTGCAGCACAAAGTCCTGCATGAACCTCTCAATGCAAAATTCAAAAAAGCAAATCTTTTTGCACTTTTGTTGACTTTCCCAAACGCCTTGTTTTGTCACAGAGGGGGGAAAAAAAAAACAGAAAATATTCACATTTAAGAGGCTGGAAGCTGAGAATTTTTACTTTTCTCTGCACGATGAACATTTAGATGATAGTTAAATTGCACATGTAAAACCAAGCCACAGTGCTTTGTGGCGTCTTCATCGACTGTTTCAGAAAATGTACCTTCTCTTAAAAACTGCTTGTGCCACTTCTATGGAAGCTGCTTTTAATTTTGAGAAGGTAAAATATGAAACAAAAATAATCATTACAGTGCAAAATGAGAAAACTAAGTGCTCTGAGCTGATTCATCTCATCACTTTGACTTTTTGAAGTAACAGTTTTGCAGTAATATGTCATCGTTCTGGTATATGACGTACACAGTTGGACTAATTTAATGCTTTAACTTCTTACTGGATTGTGCGTCAATGGATGTCAGAAACTCTGATAACGGACTAAAAGTGCATCTGCAGGGCTAGCAGCTGTTTTTCATCTTGTTTGCAGAAATTAAAGCGATATATCATAACTGTCACTGCTCTGATTGCACTCACAGGCTGTTTGATTTGCGTTTTTTTAAAGTTTGGTGAAGGTTTAAAGGCTTCTACTGAGCACAAACGTGACGTAAAGTAGAGAAACAAAAACCCCATCTCTAATGCCAGTGCTGTCTTACTGGGGGAGAAAAAAAACCCACATTTTGGATATAGTTCCTGGATCACTTTCTACTTGGTGGACAAAAATAACATGTGATGTAAATCTGGGATATTCTGCATGACACGGCGGTCTCCACGGCAACCTGTGACGTCACCAGCCCTGGGTTTTATTTTTCTCAGCAGCAGACGTTTAATTAATAGACAAAGTTAACTGGTGTGTTTTTTTTGTGTGTGTGTGTGTGTTTGCAGACACTGGCTGGTGGTGACAGAGGAAGGTCGAATGATTACGGGTCGGCAACAGCCCCGGCTGGTTCTGGTGTCTCTGAGCTGCCAGGGAGGACAAGTCTGTCTGAACGGGCCCAACATGGAGGAGGTCAAGTTCCCCTTCGAGCAGCCCCAGAACCGAGTCATCAACTGCAGGTTTCACAGAACTCTGACTCCACATGAAAAGTTCAATTTCACCTTAATTAAACTCTTTAGTCTATTTTTAAGAACACAACCATCTTCTGAAGCTTTAAATGTGTTTAAAATCGTGTATAAATCTTCCTCTTTTGTAATGATGTTGAGAGCACAAGGAGAATAAATCGGCCAATAATTAACAGGAATCCAAACAGCAGTTAAACATTTACAAATTAAAAGCGGTCTAGTCTGTGATCGTGGGGTTTGAACTGGCCTTCAGGTGCGGTCGTGTTCGGTTTTAATGTTTGTTACGAGGCACAAAAAAGTCAAATTTTTTCAAGCTCAGTGTTAAAAAATCGCTTGAACGAGTTAAATATTGACTTTGTGACCGGTTTAACAGAGAAGTATCTTCCTGTGCACAACAACAACAGCCTCTTATATTAAAAGCAGTTTTTTGTTTGAAAAATGACTGAACAGGTTAATTAATGGCCACAATAGTTAAAAATAAAGACATTTTTAACTCTAATATCTGCTATTTTTTTAAACTAAAGACTTTGTATGTGTTATTATATCGTCAATGTGATGTAAAACACCCAAAAATCTGCGTTTTTTGTTTGATAAATGGCTGAACCAGTTAACCAATGATCAAAATATTTGACGATAAGGAATTTTCAGCTCTAATATCTGCTATTTTTTTAAACTAAAGACTTAGCATGTGCTGTTATTTTGTCAATGTGACGTAAAACACCCCCCAAAAAATCAACTGCTTCTCATATTAGCAGCTGTTTTTTGTTTGAAAAATGTCTGAACCAGATAATTAATGATCAAAAATAATTAATAAAGAATTTTGGAAGGAATTTTCAGCTCTAATATCTGCTAATTTTGTCAGCTAAAGACTTTTTATACACTATTATATAGTCAATGTGACATAAAACACCAAAAACTAGAAGGTGTTTCCTGTTTAAAATGACTGAACCAATTAACTCATGATCAAAATAATATATACTAAGTCCTTTTTCAGCTCTAATATCTGCTAAGTTTGTCAGTTATGTGCTTTTCTATCCTATTATTCCTAAAATAGACCTTTAATGTTTACTATAGATGACACTTTTAAATATCCCAGCTGCTATCGTCTCCTCTGCATTGTTTACTTCCTGCTTTGACATGTTAAAACACTTTTTTTTTCACTGTTTCTCTGCTGCAGGGTGTTCAGCTTGGACATCCAGGGTCGGGATTGCGGCGACGAAGCGTCTCGGTGGCTCACGTCTTACTTCGGAACAGACAAACCCCTGCGCTTGGTGCACTTTGAACACCAGATGAAGGCGAGGAAGTCGTCGGAGATCGAGCCGCTGTTCCCGAAGCACGAGGTAGAGAAGCTGCGTTTGCTGCTGTGACTTGTATAACATTACAAAACGTTTTCCTGCTGCTGCCACGTTTTCCCCGTTCCTCCAGGAGGTGGCGTACTCCGACCTCGGCCCGGTGATGCTGCTGTCGGAGGCTTCCGTCAAAGATCTGAGCAGCAAGTTGGACAAACCCGTCACCGTGGAGAGGTTTCGCCCAAACATCGTGATCAGCGACTGCAAAGCATTCGATGAGGTTCAGTGTTCAGCTTTTGATGATTTATTTTAAAATGCACGAGTAATAAATACATTTCAACAAAGCACTTCGCGAAATAAACAGGATGGAAAAAAATAATTAGATTTACTTCGGCGCTGTAGTTAAACATTGTGCATCATTTTTTAAAAGCTACAAAGAACCTTAAGGACAAAAAAGCCCCTAAAATACTGTATTGTATGTGTATTAATGTTATGTGAGTACATTTTTTTAACCAACATCTGATCATAAATACCAAATATTCATTCATTTTCAGGGTTTAAACCCTTGAAAGGCCACTTTGTTTTCATAAAGCTGCTGGTTTTTATGCAAAAACAAGAATTCATTTACAAATAATCAATGCTTTGGGAGAGTCCCTGCTGATTCCTGCAAATTACTGCCGGACTTTGATCAGCTCTCGTATCAAAAGCTGGCAGAATATGTAGCATTTTATCCGTTACCTGGAAGGGAAATGCTTTTACTCAAGTGCTAGACTTCATCATTGTGTGTCGTTTTTAAAGAAGTTACACAAATGACCGAAAGGACTAAGATGATGTCTGCATCAAAAATAAGCCATAAAAGATTATATTGTAGAACTATTTTGTATTAAATGTACTTTTACTAAGTATTTGTTTTTAAACCAACATCAGCCTCGATCATAACTACCAAACATTTATTCATTTTCAGGATTTTAAACCTTTAAGTGCTTGTTTACATGATACCACAGTGTGGTTTAATGAAAAAAAACAACAGAATAAAGTTTTTTTCCCCCGTCTACAGCCATAAAATGCTATATATTATTAATTTATTCCACTTCCAATAAGTTTGATTGATAAACTTACATCAGCTTTGATTATAACTATCAAATATTTATTCATTTTCAGGATTTTAAACCTTTAAATGTTTGTTTACATGACACCACTGTGTGTTTCTATGAATAAAACAACAGAATTTTTTTTTTACCCATTTCTAGCAATAAAATGCTGTATATAAATAATTTATTCCACTTCCAGTAAGTTTGATGACTAAATTTACATCAGTCTTGATCATAGCTACCAGATACTTATTCATTCTCATGCTTTTAAACCTTTAAATGGTTGTTTATGTGATACCACTGTGTTTTTTTTAAAGGAAAAAAACAACAGAATAGCTTTTTTCAAACTCATCTGCAGCCATAAAATGGGATATATTAATAATTTATTCCACTTTCCGTAAGTTTGATTTGTTAAATTTACATCCGTCTTGATCATAGCGGCTAAATATTTATTCATTTTCAGGATTTTAAACCTTTAAATGTTTGTTTACATGATACCACAGTGTGTTTTTAATGGAAAAAAACAACAGAATAGCTTTTTTAAAACTCATCTGATGCCATAAAGTGCTTTATATTAATGCTCTATTTCACTTCACGTAATTTTGATTGTAAATATGTTTGTATATATGTTTTGTTGTTGATTAACCCACCAAACAAGTACAGGTACAGCAGAAATGATTGTTCGATTACTTAATTTTTCATGTGATGTAAAATTGTATTATGTTGCTAATTGTTTATTGCACTTATGATGGCATTTATCTAATCAATCGATTATTGGAAGATCAGAGGTTTTGGTTACACAAACAGTTCATCATGTAGAGTTTAGATCAGAGCCACAAAATCTCATAAACAGATTTTGTGCGTCTCTACGCTACAGGCCACGAGGTTTTGTTGTATTTTTCTCTCCTGCTCGAGGAAAAAGAAAATCATCATTTGGTCCCTTTTACTTCTGACTAATCGCTCGCCCTTTTCGGTGTGAACTGCGTGGACTAAATTTATCTCCGACTCCAAAAAACCAACTGTTTTGCTTTTTCAGGACTCATGGGAGGAGATCCAGATTGGCAGCGTGCGACTGCAGCGTGTAATGTCGTGTGGAAGGTAACGCACACACACAGACGGATTCAAGTGGTTTAGCAGCGACGGAGAATCCGGTTCGATCCCCGGGATTGCAAATATCATGTGAAAACGTTTAAATTTAACCGAGTGAATGTTGTTGCCAGGTGTATTTTCACCACAGTTGACCCGGAAACTGGTGTGATCAGCAGAAAAGAGCCTCTGGACACACTGAAAAGGTAAAAAAATAAACTGTTAGTGAAGGTTGATATTGTAACCAACACAATAAAATCCAAAAATGTCAACTTTTTTGTCATCATACAGTCATATCCCACTTAAGAGTTGAGTTTTATTGCTTACATGCATGCAAATATAACAATTATCATGCAGTTTTTTAAATATTTGATTGTATTAATCGTCCTTCCAACGGGCTGCACCTACGTCAGATGAGTTGTAAAGTTGATAAAATATGAATTAACCCAGGGCTGCAAGGTGGCACAGTTGGTAGCACTGTTGCCTCACAGCAAGAAGGTGCAAGAAGGGCCCGGGTTCTTTCTGTGTGGAGTTTGCATGTTCTCCCCGTGCAGCGTGGGTTCTCTCC